GCCAAGCATGGAGGAGTCCATACATGATCATAGACTTGTCAAGTGAGAGGACTTGGCAGTGTGGAGGAACTAGGTTCCTAAGCTATGATCTATAGCGCGCTTTGAGTACAAGTTGGTGCACCGGCGTGGGGAGTCACGCTAGGCATCCTGGATGATGCCGTCCGTAGATGCATATACGGAGGTTGGGTTCGAGTCCTGACCCTCTAGTGCTTGGGTTCGAGTCCCAACTCACTAGGGTGTGGTGATGGTTTGGAATATGAGGACACTCATTTTTCGGTGGTCATGGACTCTCAGTGTGGAGACTGGTTTGGGCACACCGCCAAGTGAGGGATGCCTCGGAGTCGTGATGCACGGTTAGATTGCTTAGAGTGAAAGCTCAACATATCTAACTTGAACACTTTGGTGCAAAGGGCACCAAGGACGTGGTGAATGAGATGGGGACACCCAGTCTCAGTTGCTATGGATCCTTGGCTGGAAGGGCTGGCTTGGGCGCACCGCCAAGTGTGGGGGATGCCCCCGGGGTCATAGTCAACAACTTAGAAGGGTCTGGAAGACCTAGTCCCTATTGATAGACCTATTAAGGGGTCAAGATAAGATCACTAGGTGATCTTGTGGCTAAACAAGGACAAAGTCTTTGTTTGGGTTAAGGAATATGATTCTTAAGTTCAAAGTGTTGATTTGAACCATTGATAAAGGTGTGGCTTGGTTGAGGTGACCAAGTGGGAGGCACACCTAAGGGAAATGAGCTATGTCAATGCTATGGCATAGTAAGTCCAAGGAAAGTAGTCTCTATAAAAGATCCAAGGGAGAGTCTCAAAGAGTTGGGCCGTGGATAGAGCCCACGATAGAAAATGTTAAAGAGACGTACTAGGGGTGAACACCCTTTGGACTTGGCAAAAGCAAAGTGTTTGCTATGGAACCGAAAGGAAACCTCAAAAATGGAGGTAGCGATCCTATATTGCTTGGTGCAACAATCCAAAGATAGGAGCAAAAAACGAGTGCCCAAGATAGGCCCGTGGAATCCATTGGAAAGAATCTAAGTGGCAAAGTTAGCCAAGGAACACTAATGTGTTTGATGCTAACGGATTGCAGAAAAAGAAGTGGGCTTCCAAGGATGGATTCCCAAGTGCTCCAATTTGGCAAAGGAAAGGCTCCAAGTGAGGGAGCAACTAAGTAGCCAAAAGATAGGGCCGTGGACAGCCCTAGCACAAATAATGATAAATGGAACGTAATGCCAATGGTGGCACAAAAATAGAAAAGAGGATGAGGGTGCCCTCGAGTAGAGAACTTCCTAGGAGGGGAAGTGGAGTTGCACAAAATGTGCAAGGCAAGGTGTCGAAGACACCTAGGAAATTGACTCCAAAAAGTCAAGAGTAAACATTCCAAAGTGCAAAGGTAGATCAATGGAATCTGTGACTACTCAAGAATGAGTAGTGGAATTGAGTTAGAGAGGGTGTCTCTAACGGGTTTAGCGAGAACTGAACCAAAAAAAAGGAGCAAACCACCCCAGGTGGTCAAGTGAGTCTCTAAGTTAGAGAGACTATCCTCTTTAGAGGATGGGCAAGGCATGGTGAGCCTTTGGTGTCAAACCATTGATGAATATGGAGAAGGCATGGTGAGCCTTCAATGTCAAACCATTGACAAATATTGGCTAGGTGCCAAGGATGGAAATGGTAACACATGCGGGTGTTACTTTATAAAATGGTTTGCCGTTCGATGAGGACATCTAACTTCGTCTATGGGTGGTGGAGTTGTGAGACACAAAATCCCTAGGCCCCAAAGTGGAGCTGGAAAAGGTGCCACGTGGTAGTGGCCGAAGCGAAAGCCCAAATGAGGGTAACACGTTTGGACTAAAAGCTCCGACTTGGAAGGTCGAGAGCGGGAGTGGAACTCCCAACAAAGTGCTCGAGGAACAAGCACGAAGCGAGCAATAAGTGAGGCTCCAAAAAGGGACCCAAAAAGGACCAACACATAACATGTGGAAGTGTCCGAGATGGAGTCCGAGACGGACCCTAGTTGGAGTCCGAGATGGACCCGAAGTGGAGTCCGATATGGAGTCCGAAGTGGAGTCCGAGATGGAGTCCGAGGTGGACCGAGACGGAGTCCGAGATGGACCCGAGATGGAGTCCGAGATGGAGTCCGAGATGGACCTGAGATGGAGTCTGAGGTGGAGTCCGAGGTGGACCGAGACGGAGTCCGAGATGGACCCGAGATGGAGTCCGAGATGGACCGAGACGGAGTCCGAGATGGAGTCCGAGATGGAGTCCGAGATGGAGTCCGAGATGGAGTCCGAGAAGGACCCGAGATGGAGTCTGAGGTCGAGACCGAGACCGGGACCGGGACCGGGACCGAGACCGGGACCGAGACCGAGACCGGGACCAAGACCGGGACCGAGACCGAGACCGAGGCCAAGGCTAAGACCGAGCCCGAGCCCGAGCCCGAGTCCGAGTCCGAGTCCGAGCCCGAGTTCGAGTCTGAGAGGGTGAAAGCCCAAAGCGTTCGTCTCCCAGACCCTGGGGGGTTTGGTGAGCTCCAAAAGTATAGTAAGGGGGAGGACTGCAATGGAGCCAGTTTGGCCAGGAAAGGCCAGTTTGGCCCAGGAAGGCCAGACCCTGTGTTGGGTGATGAACTGACCACTGGGAAGTCCAAGACTAGAGTGAATACGGACCGACAAGCGGGGTAGCTTGGCGAAGTGTTCAAGAGCCGGCTCTAGTTCCCCCGGGAGATTGACTGGCCGATGCTCCCAGTCCAAGTGTGGGTGGCACTACCTACTTGGATACCAGGCGTGGCTCAACGGAACCTCGCTCTAAGCCCATGGCTAGAGCACCTAAAGGCGAAAGGCAGGGAGAGTACCCAGGTGACTCGCGTAAGGCCACGGTGTTCCGAAATGTTGTCCCAAAGGCCTAGACTGTGGAAAGGAAGAGGAGCAATCCTCTGGGGTAGTGACCAAGGACACAGTCGTGTGGTGAAGAAGTCCCAGAGGACCATGGGACTTAGTGGTCGGGCCTGTGGGCCTCAATCCAATGGTAGTGTTGGCAAACACGGCCAGGGGCAGAAAGGGACTTGGTGGGGACCAGAAAGGGGATATTGGTGAATGTTATTCCCCATGTCTGGGGGCATCCTAAAGATGCTAACGAGTGGATCTGGGATGATCACTCATGGACGGATGGCCCAGTCTTGGAGAGACGGGATTGCAATGTAGGTGGTGTTAGACCACTGATGTGACCAAGGTGAATGAGCGTGGCCTAGCATAACAGGCTCATATATCAGTGGTACCTTGGGGTGTCGGTCATGGGATCGGACACGTGGAGCACTTGGACCAAGTGCAAAGGTTGAGTGGCATGGATGCCACCTTCGGGGCTAGCAAGCCCTAAGTCCTGAATGGGACTTATGGAGGTTGTGAATGAGACTCCTCCAAGTGGTTGGAGGTGTGGTTAAGTGACTAAAGTAGAGTGGAAAATTTAATCGCTTACACTAAAGAGACTAGCTGTGCAGTTTTGGCATTGGATAAGGAGAGTACATTTGAAGGTGTTCTTGGGACATTTCATAACAAGTGATAATAAAATATAAATTTCTCATTATAGTAATTCCATCATGGTTGTGTATATTAAGTGGATTGATGACATGGGTTATGATTTGCCATGTTATGCAAAAGCAATGGCACAAGCTTATATACAACAAGAGCCCATATTTAGAGAGCATAATATTATATAAATTCCTTTTATGGATGTGGATGCCAAAGAAGACTAAGTTTAGTTTTTTTTTAGTTAAATTTTTTAGTGGTAATATAGAGCTTTTTCTTTGACTCATAATATTTATTTTCTTATTGGACTTATATTATTTAGTTTTTTCTTGGACTGAAAATATGTTTTAAGTTTTGATTAAAATTTTTGGTTTGTCCCGAACCAATCATTTGAACATCAACTTTTGTATTTGGTGGATTATATTGACTTTCATTGACTTTCATTAATTTGATCTTAGCTCAAAAACATCAGCCAATCTCTTGCCTCCAGAGACTTAGCTCCCACTTAGGCAGGAACTAAATAAATCAATAAAGGAACAAGATGTTCCTTATATTCCTAATTGATGAATACAACTTCTATAGATTTAATGGTTCCAATAAACTTAATTAAATGCTTAGCAAACAATTTCCAATGCAATAAAATTCTCATACGATGTGATTGCTTAGCATAGGCTGATGCAAAACTCTCTACTCTAGCCTTCATTTAGATTAATCCTGAGTGAATGTCTTCCCAGGAAGTTGTTTTGTGCATGTCCATGATGGGAGTATATATGCAGAAGGCCACGTTTCAGATTCAAATACCTATATTGTTCTATAGTAACTAAGATAGATATACACTTTGTCTCAAAATCAAAGTGATGGCTTGCAGGTGATCAAGGATGTCCTGTTCAACTCTGTGACACTGCTAGGTCCATTTTGTCTGCTCGGTTTTTCCCTTATTTTGAGAGGAGACGTGTTTTTGCTTAAAATAGGGAGCTTCCTCAGCAGTTGGGCTTTAGATTATGTCGTTGCAGGGTCCATGGCCAGCCGTTGTTCCGTTTTCTAGCAGCGGACGTGCATGAATAGCGCTCCCAATCAGCAAACCATGTCCTCTAAGCTCAAAGCGTGCAGCCATGAGCCTTGGTAGTCTGGCTACCAGCTCTGATGCAGACCTTGTGAGATCCCTTTTCCCAGCATTGGCATGCCGAAGACAAAGTACTTGCTTTTTTCTTTGTTCTATCTTAAATGAGTTTATGCTCAGGGTGAAGCTGAAGCAACGAAAAGCTCAGCTCGCTCTTCATCACTAACTGCTGACGATGAGTAAGTGGCGTTTTGGACGAGATTGACAGGAAAATATTGCAGGGGGAAGCAGACCGACGTCGCAATTGAGCAGGCTTGTTACTATCGGGAAAGGTAGCACCTCTTTGCAAAATCTAAAATGGTGCGAACATCAAATCAATTTTACAGGGATCAAGCGGTGTTTCCAAAGTATCTCTGCGTATATTTGAGGACATGGGTATGTTGCGTTTCTCAGGGACTATGCCGTGCAGAAATTGATAAAAACCATCATCCTCTTAGGTTTTGCGGCTTCAAGCCTATGGGAGACGCATCTAGGAAGCGGCAGCGTGGCGACCCAGGTATTTCCTTGATTGAGGAGGCCTTGGGGCTTCTCGACGAGCTTGAGGCCGTCTATGGCAACATGCCGGATGATTTCTTGTGGGATACGACCAAGTTCCAAACTCTCATACAACCCACCCGCAGCTTTAGCAGTGAGTACGAGTCCGAAGAATACAGGTACATAGGCAGGGCCAAAGCCAAGGATTTACTGGACAGGATTTCGAGGCTGCGCAGGGGTGCTCAGTTGCAGGTTCAGGGAGCTAAAGGAACCGGAAAAACCACCGTCATGAGCTCCATTACCGGTTACATGCTCGGGGTGCAGAAAAAACCAGTGGTCTACATTTCTACCCGTCGTTTCGTTGAATCTCCGGCTGACGTTCTTCAACATGCGTTGTTAGTGGCCACGCGAGGTGACGAAAGTGTGGCTGAGATGACTACGCTGGGTGAGCTGGTTGGCTGGTGTCGGCGCCGAATAAACGATCCATTGCTGTTCGTGGTAGACGACTGGGATAAGTTTGAGGATTTTCCAAGCTTAATGTCGTCTTTGAAGGAGGCAGTGTCGTTTCGCCATATCCTTGTTAAGCTGTCTTCGACCAACAGTAGGGAGCGCAGGATCACCACCGTCACCGACAAGCCTTTACCGAGTTTCGACTTTGATGGACCTTACAACAGCAGTGAGCTGGAAACGTGGATTGCGCAGTCGAGTCTTGACAAGACCGAACTCAAAGCGCTTGAACGTTTAACCGGTGGAATACCTCGGCTTTTGAGGTTCTTCGAGGAAGTGAAGGGAAACAGTAACAAGTTCATGGAGAAGATCGAAGAAACTTACACAAGAAAGTTGTTTGATAAGTTCATTGCATTGCAGACCACTAAGGAGCAGCTCGCAGCTGCCTTGGACTTGGTTACAAGGGGTGAGCTAAGTGCTCTCCTTCAGGGGCCAGTGGATCTCACTTGTTTTTACAAGGACGGTTCCAGGTTCAGGCTCCTGTGCCCATACTTACGGTCTAGAGCGGAGTTCTACATCATGGAACAGAACAAGAATTTGAAGAGCACTCTCCAGTATGAAGACATTCAACGTTGGGTAGGTGCTGTGAGAATGGATTGCACAGGAACGAACAGGAATCCGCCTCGCGTCGGCTGGAATGTGGAAGGTTTGATTGTTTCAGTGATGAGGTATCAAGGGAAGCTGTGGGAAGGGTTAGAGTTCAAGTACTACAAGACATACAAGCATGGACGTGAAGCAAAATTTCTCAGGGACTTGTCGACAGAAGAGCTCGCTGACGGTGTGCTGGTTGGACCTGAGGCGTTCAACGAGAAAGCCTTGGATGTCATCTACCTGAGGCTAGAGGGTTCTGTGCTGACGATCAAGGCAGTGCAAATCACGGTTTCAAAATGGAAGACTAAACAAAGGAAGAGATCACACGGTGTTTGGCAGGAGCAGGTGCTGCCAAGATGGCTGTCGAGGAATTTAAGTGTAGAGCATCAGTTTGTTTACCTGATGCCTGAGAGTGTGACGCAGGATGATTTGGGAGAGATTGAGGCAAACGTCGTCAACTACATCAATGCACAGGCAGATCCACAAGAGGAGGATTCAGATAAACCTGAGGAGGAGGATTCAGATAATGAGGTTTTGTCCGTAAATTGGAATGCAGTCACCAGTCAACCTCTTATGTTCAAAAAGCTGGGTGACGTTCACAGGTGTTTGTTAGCACTCGATGAGTTGCTAAACCTGAGACCAGCCGGGAGTCTGGAAAAGAAAGCGATCAAGAAATGTCCTGGTGCGGTGGTTGAAAACGGCATTTCCCGGCCATGTCGAAGATGGTCTCGCACTGATCAGCTGGTCTTTTACTGTTGCCGAGCTCATCGGGGAACACACATTGCATGAGAACGATTTAAGAATACATCTCTCCCTTACCAGTCTAGTGACCGTCCTTTGCGACAACAGCACTCGACGTTGATGGATTCGTTTCTCTTTGTTTGTTTTGTTCTTCAGCCTTCTACTTCCTGGGTTGCATAGTTGCAACTGCAATAAGAGCAGAAGCTCCAGAAAATCTAAGTCCAACTTCCCCTGGCCAATGTTGCTGTTATTGCCTAGGTTAGGTATCAGTTTAAGGAGAGAGTCCAAGAAGCATAAGAATATAGAGCTGGTGCAACACATAGCAACATAATAAAAAATCATGTTTTCTTCCTTGAGCATGATTCCATTTTGATCTCTCAAGATTTTGGATTATTTTCTCAGTGTTTTTCCCATACTTTTGAGTTTTTGCTTTGTTTCTTTATGTCAATGCTTGCAAGTGCTTTTTTTCTAGTTCATTCTTATCTCTAAATCTTAAGTTCTTTTGTTAAAGATTCTTAAAATATTCTTCAATCTTCAATCTTTAGATTTATGAACCACCTTTGCCTTTGTTTTAAATTGTATTAACTTTGGTTTGATTCTATTTAGGTTCAACTACTCATTACATAAGCAATGGGTGTTAACTATCACTTTATAGATTCTCACACTTTTTCCCAATTCCTTTCCCAAGGATAGATTAAATTTAAATTAGGTTATACTCCCTTAAGCATAAGTAGCCAAGCATATGAAACTTTAACATCTTTTGGTACAACAAAATTTGCTCATGAGACCCTCTAAATCCTAACACCATGGCCTAATGGCTTAGTATACATACTTTAACTCCCCACCTCTATCCCAAAGGGAAGGCCCAAGCCCCTAGAAAGAGAATGAGCCTTATAGTACTCAAGTGAAGCACCATTTCACATGAACCAAGAGCATAATTAGTTAATTTCTTTTCCATGAGTAGAAGTTATTTTTGAGCACTTCTTTAAAGAGTTTTTTTAACACTCCCAAGTTTATCTTCACTCCCACCCAAGATTACTAACCCTTAATTCTAGCCTCAACTTCGTTTGGAAGCACCATTAAAGAATTCTTTCAAGACTAAATCTTTAACTTCACTATCTTTATTATACTTTTAAAAGTCCTTGCAACCTTTTACCCCAAATTTGTTTGGGCTTTCACCCACAATCTGTATTAGTACTCAGACTCAGGTTTACCATTGGAAAGTTTGAGTTACAATGCTCTATTCTTTCTCAAAGAACTTTACTATTGCTCCTTGAGTAATTTAGTTGGTAATCCATTATGTTAAATTTAAGTTGGTACCTTAGTTCCTTGAGAGTTGCATATTGAGTTTTAAGAAGGTTATAGCATTTATTTATTATAGCTTGTTAATGGAGTTATTAACACTTGGACTACTCTAAATGTTAGATGGAGAAAGTATGTAGTTAAAACATTGGCATTGGTAACATTTGTATTAGTGGAATTGAGTGATGAGAAGTTGTCCTTAGAGCCTATTATTTTTATTATTAGTGTTTTGGTTTCATATTTGATCTTGAAAGTGATTAAAAAAGAGTGTTAGTGCAATATAGATATCTAAAGATATGGTTTTTATGATCCAATCTTGGATGTTTATTTTGCATTTTTGTGGATGTCAATATTTGATATTAAGATATAGGCATTTTGGTAGATGCTTATGCATTTTATTGGGTCATGAGAATTTGTGTTGAAATGAATTGATATGAAGTTGTAAGTAGGAGGAAGTTGGTTAAGTCATTTTTTATTTAGGATGGAAAAATTTCCAAAAAATTTCTTAAACTTTTCCAATGGCTAATTTATTGATTATTTTTCTTGGAAACCATTTTGTTTTCATGAGCCATTGCAAGCTAGTAAAAGGGTTAGACTTAACTTTAGTTGACTTATCCTTAATAAATAGTTTGTATGATGCAGCCCAAAAGGAATACTAACTTTTAAAGCTAAGGCAATTAAGTTGGATAAGGTCTAGTATTAGCGTAGAAAAGTAGTTAGTTGCATTTTTCTAGAAAAATGACACTTATACTTTTCTTTTATACATTATGCTTAATGGCATATTGCACCTTGTATTTCATTAAATTCTATGAGAGTAGTGAGTTCTCATTGATTTTGACTTAGTTTTGGTGGCCTTGTGCCATTGTTAAGGATAGTGATATCCAATTTAGTTGTTTGCAGTTGAGATGTTAGTACTTATATTGAAGCCTTGTCCATTAGGAAGTTGTATACCATATAAATCTATCTCATGATCTTCACTTTAGTTTCAACTAAATGTTAATTATGCATACTTAGCCTCTTTAGTTATGCTCAGAGTTATTAGCTAAATGTGTTAGTGAACTTATCACAGTTAGATTGGATTCAAGTAGTCATTTTTTCGTACTTGTCCAAGTTTTTATATGTTGTACCTAGTGTCTTACCTTCTTATTAGACAAGTATATAACTCAATGATATGAGTTTAGTGTTTGGTTGTTTTGCGATTAGTGATTACTTATAGGTTTTTTCAAGGATTACTAGCACTTGCTTAGCTCAATGATTATTTAGCAGTGATGGGCTTATTTACCAAATAGTATTACTAAGAATCGTGTTCTTGGGCTTTCATAATTTTTCTATGTTTGCATATTAGTTCCACCTCTATTGATATTGTATAGTTGTGTTTAGTCCATAGTGTTGGATTACATTAAATCTCAGACACGGTGATTCACTCCTTGATTATGTGTTATCTATAATTGAGGATTATTAAAGAATTGGTCTTAAAGATTAAGTAAGGTATCTTTGACCTTAGTTAGCTTGGTTGTTAAAAAGTTTTGAATGGTGATTCACTCTTGCTTTATTCTAACTTTGTTTTGGTATTGATAGTATTGAGGTGATGCTGTGATATTAACATTATTAAAGTTGAGATTAAAATAAAATAAGTGTAAACAACCAAAAAGAATGACTTGAGAAACAATCTATAGGGTTAAAATATAAAAGGAAAAGGCCCATGAACAAAAGTGCACCCTCTTTTTTACTCAATTAACAGTATTGGGATATTTGAGGTTAAGTGTCCTTTGATGACGTCATAAGAAGTCCAAATTTAAAAGCTTACATTTGTTATCGAAGCGGTTTCAGGTCTAACTCTATTGGTTAGGTAAAAGAATCATACCACATGTTGAGATTAACATTTAATAGGGATCTAATTTGTCAAGAGGGCTCTCAACAAAACTATCTTAACTTTCATTCACAAGGGCATGAATTTGTAGGGAAATATGATAGATTATAAGCAACAAAAAAGATCACCTTGAAAAATGATCTATAAACTTCAAATATAAAGGAAAGGGCCCATGAATAAGAGTGCACCTTCTTTTTCAATCTATTAAAGGTTTTAAGATATTTAGGGTTAAGTGTCCTTGGGTTTGAGTAGTATTGGTTGGGTGAAGTTCAAATTTAAAAGCATATAATAAGATGTCATTATATTTCATTAGTCTTAATAAAGATGATATTAATAATAAGGTTACATCTTCTATTATTGGCATTCGTGTATTTGCCATAAATTTGGTTAAAGGTAGAGATAATAAGATTTATATATTCCATTGGTGCAATTTGCCTACAAAAATAGCCAACACAATGGAACTAAAATTTATATCTTCCATTGGTGCAATTTGCCTACAACAATAGCCAACACAATGGAACTAAAATTTATGTCTTCCATTGGTGCAATTTGCCTACAACAATAGCCAACACAATGGAACTAAAATTTATATCTTCCATTGGTGTAATTTGCCTACAATCTTTGCTCTAACCTGAGCTACCTGCAAATTCCATTTGCACACCACCACAATCTCATTAGTTTTTATAGCTAAATAAGTCATCTCTGAGTCAAATTTATCTGACTCAAGCTTATCTTGAACATCCTTACCCAAATGCAATTTTAATTCCACCATTATTTAGGGTTGCTTTCCAAAAATGGCAAAATAAGGGCTTAACTTCGTTCAAGTTTTCTAATGAGCATCACCAATTCTTAGAGTATAAGGTGGGTGATCTTGTCTTTGTGTAAGTGACCTTTTTGTCAAATGAGCAGTGGAACACATTAATGCCTTTACAGAAGGGGAAGAGTGATAAATTTTCTCATTAATATACTTGTTCATATAAAGTGTTGAGTGCATTATTAAGGCAGTTTATCAAGTGTATCTATGAAAATTAATCTGATTTTTTGTTTGGAGTTCTTATGCAAAAGGGATAGCATATTTTATATAACAGTCGAACTTTGAATCCCATAGAGTAACGCTATTCCATAATGAGCAAGAGTTACTCTCTAGTGTTCATGCTTTGCAGATGTGGCAACACTATCTTTATGGTGTAATATTTGTGGTGTTGACAAATCACAAACCGGGGATGGTCCAAAGTTGAGTTGAGTTCACGAGTTGAGCTCAATTCAGCTCAAGTCAATGCTAGTCAACATAGTCAACCATAAGTTTTATAAGGAAATATTAAGTCAAAAAAATCTTATTCTTTGGTGAACTTGAATTTATGAATTTAAGTATCAATGGTTCAGAGAAATTTCTATTTTTTGAATCTTTCTAATGCAATTTATACAATAAAATACTATTTCTAGAATTAGAAGTTCGTTTGAACCCATAGAAAATTTTAAGCTTTATTGGTCCTAAATAAAATGGGAATATTGAAGTTCGAATGAACCTAAAATTTCTATTGTACATTTCAACAATTGACCAGAAATATATAAATAATTTAAAACATTGATTCACTTGTTCATTCTTTAGGGTTTACAGAGATGGGAAGGAAGGAAGACAAAAAATCTATAAGTAGTTTTAGCATATAGAAATGGGAGAATGTTAATTTTATTTCAATACCACAATTTCCATATTACATGCCTAGTCCTTATTACCCATCCGAAAATGTGGAGACCAGTGTCACTATTGATAAAAATGCTCTTGTTACTTCCGAAACAACAATCCAAAGCAAGAGAAAAGAAGAAATGGACAACACAGCGGAAAGCACTAATAAATCCACTTTATAAACCTTTCAATGGCTTTTGTAATCCACTAAATTATTATAAAAAAAA